AAGTTGATTACTATTCCTATCCTGAATTTTTGTTATAACTTCTTAATAAAGCTCTATATGACCTATGTTTACATAACATTTTTGTCATACTTTGTGCCATAGAATATACCGACAAAGTTTGAACATTAAAACCTGGGACACCCTGTATATACGATAATTATAAAGAGTCGCAAGGCTCGAGTAATCGTACCTCCTATTCCCAAATTGTCCATTTTCGTGCGCAATCTGAGCGCGAATTAGGGAGAAATTACTGTAACTGATTTCCGATATATTCTTTTACGATTTCTGACATCATAGTGATATTTCTATATGAAATTTTTAGATAAACGTCTTTATTCAAGCATACGTTATAATAGAAATTGTACGAAGCTCGAACTGTTATAAAATAACACTGTTTGTAAATCTTGCCACTGTTATAAAATAGTACACACACATTAGCTTGCATTTAGGGTTCGGCAGTTCTAGTGTCAAACGAATCATTGCGATCTCTCGGCCACAGAGGTTACCTAAAAAATTCAGTGAATTCCAACGTGCTCTAAATTGTAATGCAACGTTCGCAGTGTATTAAATTATTCCGTGTTAACTGAAACCTGTATTTGTTAAGATATTTATTAAAGATAAATAGTACACGATCACACATCGAATTCATGCTTTAGCTTGAATACGCTCTCGTACGCTCGGCAGAATGAAACAATTATTTTTCAAGTTAATAGAGCAAGATAAAATGCGAGGCACCGAATCAAGTAGATTCGGATACCAGTGGTCGGACACGGAGTCAAATTTGATCGAGCGCGATACGAGTTTTTGTTAACTAATTTATCTGCATTTTCCGCAGCGCGCAACACGCGAGAGGATTCGGAAGAAACTCGTCGAAAGTCGTTTTATATTTCGCGACGCGAGTCGATGAGCACGAAGCCCGGCAACAACACGCGACACACTTGGCCAAATAACGCGCAACTGGCGGCCTCGGGTCGGCTCTGGACAAACCGTGCGCCGATCGTCTCGGCTGATACAAACATTAAGTATAATATCGTTTCATTACGTTCAATTTAATTAACGTCAATCATGTTAATTGCCAGCCGGTCTGCGGACGCGTGTGTAATTACCTGGTTCGTTGTGATGTATCTGATGCGGGTCGCGAACGAGAATTCGCTCGTCCCCGGCCGGCAATTATGAAAAGCGGGCGAGACAGGGGGAAGAAACTGGGCCCGATTATCCGTTGTCAAAAAGACAGCGCGATAATGGTAATTTGCTTCAAAGAACAAACATTGTTCGTGTGCTCCGTCGGCCGACTTGGAAAATTAGGCTTTAATTACAATGCCTCTGTAACGAGACCTCGGCTGGATATCGATGATTAAGAAACCACGGTGACTCTTAATACGAATCGCCTTTTTAAAAACCGACCATCCTTTATTCGCGAAACGAAACTGTTTGGGTGCCTTTGCTGGGAGCGTTCCGCACGTAATTGAAGCGTATTCCCCGGATGTGTGTGTGTGTGTGTGTGTGTGTGAAAAAAAACCGCTGCTCTCGTATGAAACAATTTTTATCGGATCCCTTACTAATTACAGAATATATCTAACAAATTGAACGTCGATACGTCGGGAAACGATCGCTGGAGAAACGAATCCTGGATTTAAACCGCATAAACGATTAGCGAACAATCTATCGAACGATTATCCTAATGGGGAATCGGGCCCGGCGATTGGCCAGAGCTTGAATGGCCGCTTTCGTGCAGTCTCACCTGCGTTTCCGTGAGGTGGAGGGAGGACGAGAACTCCGCTCTTTCGGCGATGGTCAGGTACTGCTTTTCGCGGAACTTTTTCTCGAGGGAGAGCAGCTGTTGCGTGGTGAACGGCGTCCTCGGCTTTCGGTTCGGCTTGTGCTTCCTCAGGGTGCACCTGACCGGCCCTGGCCCTGGACCCGGCAGCCTCAAGTCGCCTGAAATCAATCCGAAAAACCGCGGATCAGTCGCAAAACACGATCACCGAGAGCCATTTAGAAAGCAGACGGTCTCCTCGGAAATTAGAAACCGTCCCCGAGTTCTTTCGGGCTCTTCTCCGTCGAACCTGTTGCTCGAAGCAGCCGTACAACCGAGCGTAAAATCCTACCGTTCGGAATAATTTGCAACAATCGAGAAAGCTGTTCTCCCGAAAGAAGTAAAACGGCAAACAAATACGGTTCGGCTTAGAGGCAACACTGTGTTCGATGTCCGGTTCCACCGTGCGCCGCAGAAAATGATTTCCTTCTCGTTCATTGTTAATTTCCGATTTTCGTCCGAACGCAACGCATCTTCGTTCGCGTCAACACCGTTTAACTCGTCGCGTCAACGACGCCTATCTCGAATCGTTTCTACGCGGTCGGTCCGTGATTAGCGACGCTTTCGGAGCGGATGAATTTATAAAGGAATTTTGTTCGAGTGCCTAGGAAGGTTCCCGTTTCCACGCAGCTGTGAGGTAATAATCATTTGCATAAGATTAACGGCGTTTCGCCGCGGAATGCCCAGAAGTGGCGTATAAACGGGCGGAAACGGCGCGTTCGGTTAATCGTGGAAACACCATAATAAAATAAGACGGCGTGCGCTCGCCGGCGAGGCCGGCGCGGCGGTCGTCAATTTCGTCGGCATGGATCGGCGACAATGTACCCGATCGAAAAGCCGTCGTTAACACGATCGATCGGTGTGTAAGCCGAATAATTAACGCCATTGATCGCGCTCGCTAAGGTGGATTAAGATATCGGGACAACGAGTGTTTTCCTCCCGGGGCCATAACTCGCATAATTATTGCTCAACCATGGCCGGTCTGATAAATCGTTCAATGTCGCTGCAGCTGCGCGCTTACGGGAAGAGAACCAGAGAGAAAAAGAGAGAAAGAGAGAGAACGAGAAAGAGAGAGAGAGAGAGCGAGAGAGAGAAAGAGTTCCAATTACGCGTTGTTCTTTTTTGGTCGTATCGCTCGCGATAAAAGTATTTACAGATGTTTATGCTCGCTTATTTAACGTCTATTTATAAGCGATTGAAAGCTGACGATTCCATCGCGTTCACCGATCGATGCCTCGGCTCGAAAATAAGCGGGGTCGATGTGAAAAAGGGATCCGCGTGTCGTTATCGTTAATTACATCGAAAGCGGCAGATAGAAATATGAACCGCCCGCCGAATATCCGATAGCCGGCGGGCACCGAGTTCGCAATATTAATCATGTTTGCGCAGATTTGTTCGAATGGTGCAAAATTATCGGCTCGTTATTTCCGTGCACGCATTGCATAATAATTATCTGCGGCACAGCGATAACGTCCGGCCGCCGGCCGTTAATTAACGCGATGCGGACGGATCGATCGAAAACGCGTTTTCATCCCTCTCGATTTTCGTCGGACTTTTACTGCCGCCACGTCGGCCGCTTGCCTCCAAATTAATTTCCTCCGTCGAATTTACGAGCGGGCGAGCCCGAATCTCGCTCTGTACGCTCGACGGATCGTCCCGATTATCCCTGGCCAAAATTAGGCGCTCTACGCTTCGCGATCAACTTGGAATTCGAGTATGCTGTTCGCGATCGGTTCCAAAACACTGTAGAGAAAATGGCTTCCACGGTTTTCCATTCGCGCACAGGTAAATATTCGTACGAAAATCCGATATTAGAATTGTTTATTACATATAACTTTATTATACAGGGTGTCCCAAAAGTGACTCGTAATACGGAAATGGGGGGTTCCCGAAGTCATTCGAAGCAACTTTCTCCTTAGCGAAAATGCAACCCGCGGCTTTGTTTACGAGTTATCAACGAAAAACGGTGACCAATGAGAGGCGAGCTTGGCTTTTGTGAGGCAGCCCAGCCAACGAGCGCACGAAGCCCAGTCCTGCTGATTGGCTCGGTCGTCTCGCGCCAGCTGATCTCGCCTCTTATTGGTCACTGTTTTTCGTTAATAACTCGTAAACAAAGCCGCGGATGGCATTTGCGCTAAGGAAAAAGTTACTTCGAATGACTTCAGGGATCTCCCATTTTCGGATTGCGAGACATTTTTGGGACACCCTGTATATACCTGTCACAAGTAAATTTATCGATCTAATGTGTACTATACACGACATGTACTGCTGTACAGATTTCATCCGACACCGTAACTAAGTTCAGCAATGTCTCGCTAACTGACGCTCAGATTGTGCACAAAAATGGACAATTTGGGAAGAGGAGATACGATTTTTCGATCCTTGCGGTTCATTTTTATAGTTACGAATTGTCAACAATTATATAAAAAAAACGAGCTACAAGGCTCAAATAATCTTATCTCTCGTTCCGAAATTGTCCATTTTTCTGGACAATCTGAGCGCCGATTAGAGAGACATTACGTAACACTGTGCTATTAAGCGAAAATTTGTGTGTCCTATTTCTTGAAATGAAACAGCTCTGTTCAGATTGAAGACTTCTTCTGATCCGCGGCTACTTTCAGGCAAAACATCTTTAACGCTAAACCTACCAGTGCCGGTTATTTTAATCTGTTTCACAGTTTTAATTTCAAAATTCTTGGATTTATAAAAGCTCTTTGGTGACAATTGATCGAATTCATTTCCGAATTCAAGCGCACATAATAAAACGCCAAATAGGTATAAATGAATTTCGTCTTGTGATTCTGATGAAGCAACAAGAACAAGGCTTATACTGTCTGTAACTGGCATCAGTCACTGGTGATCATGTTCTAACCACCTGTAATTAATTGGTCATCGACCAAATACCAAAGAATTTGTAACCGCAAATGAACAAATAAATTAGTTTAGATAGCCGAAGTACCATCGGAATTTCTGGATGCTGGCCCAGCTCAGCTTAGTAATGTCTCGCCTAGATCAACGTTTAGCAAACATCCGAATTTTAGCAAGAAAAAACGATCGGTGAACAATTCGAAATCGAATCGTTTCGAACTCGTCCGATTTCGAGGACCGCAAACGCGCACTTTCGCCGCGATGGAGCACGAATCAGCGCGAAAACTCAGCCCGGTTTCGTGTTCACGATCGATAAATTGCTCGATCGTCGATCGCACACGCGTTTCTCCGCAATCAGCGCTGTTCGATCCTTAATTTATACGGTTGGCCCATGTGTCGACGGAACGGTGCCGAACAAGTGGCCTGCATCGGTGAAATTGAATCGTAAAAAATAAACTGTCCTCGTTTACGCGTGATCGTTTCATCTCCTCCAAGATGATTACGGTCTTGTCGATGCTCGATGATTGACTCGTATCCCAGCAATTAGCCGAGTTTCGTTCCGTTGCCAGACGGGCTTCTTTTCTTTTTTTTCACGGCGAACCACGTCGAAATTACGTCTCTCGCAATCGCATTCCGAATATTAATAGCACTCTCCGACTCGATTCCGAACGATAGCGTTCCTCGACTCGATTCCAAGCATTACGCGAGGCGCTAATATAATATGTTCTTCGTTGCCGATTTTACAAATTATATTCGACGAGGCTAACAATCTTTCGGCGTTCGGTATTCGTACGAATATTCGTACGAAGTATGTATTCTGTCCAGAATTAATTTTCTACTCTTGAAGCATCGCCGCATTATCTCCGATTTACTATTTTATCGAGCTTTGCGTTCAATTATCATCGACAGCACGTAGACACCGCCCGATCCTCTTAGAGCAATTTCATAGAACACAGTGCAGCCGATTTAACTCCTTAAATCGTATCCTTATCGATGTAAATCGTTTCAAAGATTCGACTGATTTTTCGATCTCGTTTAACAGTTTTAGACATAAGATCGCTACGTACAGTAATGTCTCTCTAATTGACGCTCAGATTGTCCACAAAAATGGACAATTTTGGAAGAGAAGATACGATTGTTCGAGCCTTGTTGCTCGTTTTTTATGGTTATCGATTGTCAACAACTATAAAAACGAGTCGCAAGGTTCGAATAATCGTATCTCCTCTTCCCAAATTGTCCATTTCTCTACACAACCTGAGCGTCAGTAAGGGAGACATTACTGTATTTCGCGTTATAGAGAGAAAATACTATCACATTCAGTTTTAAGGATCTTCTTGTATCAAGCGCTAACATCAATAAATAATAACAGTAATAATAATAATAATAATAATAATATTATTATTAATACTACTACTACTACTAGTACTACTACTACTACTACTACTAGTACTACTACTACTACTACTACTAGTACTACTACTACTACTACTACTACTAGTACTACTACTACTACTACTACTAGTACTACTACTACTACTACTACTACTAGTACTACTACTACTACTACTACTAGTACTACTACTACTACTACTACTACTAGTACTACTACTACTACTACTACTAGTACTACTACTACTACTACTACTACTAGTACTACTACTACTACTACTACTAGTACTACTACTACTACTACTACTACTAGTACTACTACTACTACTACTACTAGTACTACTACTACTACTACTACNATAATAATAATAATAATAATAATAATAATAATAATAATAATAATAATAATAATAATAATAATAATAATAATAATAATGATGATGATGATGATGATAACAATAATTGGCAACGACTGGAGGCAGACTCAGAAAACGATAGTCGTATAATAAAGTCGAACTGGTCAAAGCGGCGTAGATGCAATAAGAGTTCTGGCGCAGAAGAAGCGACCGGCAGAGATCGAGAAGATAAACGATCGATCGAGGTTCACGTGGCCGTTTTCGGCGTCCCATTCGCGGTAATTGCGTGTTCCGTGGACGAGAAGGGCGAAAATTCACGGGACAATGTCCGGGTCGGTGTTCCGCGGAACGGAACGGCGAAAAAAGGCGGGCATCAATCGGTTAACGATCGTGGATCGGATTGGCACGGAATCGGTAGAGTTCCCGGCGTGGAAGCGGGAACGAGCGGGCCCTCTGCAAAAACGGCAGCACGGGGCCCCGCCGAGTCGAAATGATGACGATTTCGCGGC